CAGACACACTTCAGATAATTTCACTCATACTTTTGGTGTGCGGGTGTTGTCTTCAATTGTAGTGGGTTATAGAAGGAGAAAAGAGTCAACTGTTGTGACGGCGGTGAAATGATTTCTGTGCGTGCAGTGTTAGATATTATATGCGGTATAATATTTGACTGAGGTTTTTGAGATTCCAGATTCCTTGGTGAAAGTGAATTGACGCGATGACGAACCAATAACGTAGTGAAAAGAATTGTTCATTCTTTTCAGTAAATGATGTTAGAAATAGAAAACCTATTTTCTATTTCTAACAGTGCAGATAGAATGAAAATTTGGTGCAGGTATTTTGAAAACATGGCTAGTGGGGAGAAAAAGTGGGGAATGGATTTTTTGTCATTGCGTACAATTCAGACGTTATGTAGTGGTTTTCGGCCTATGTAACAGAGTGGAGGGCGATTGTTTGACGGACAATTTCCAGCGCTTCCAAATCGGATTTCAAATCTGAGAGTTTCTCAGATTTGATTTCCAAAATTAATTAAATCTGAGAGTTTCTCAGATTTGTTCGCAAAAGGGTTTTAATCGAACCATATCTCATGTTCAACCACTTAGCAAATTTGTCATTTACTTTTGGGTCCATGTGACTTGACATAAGATTGTCAACATGAAATCTGATAGTTTGCTGTTTTTTATCAACAACTTTGTTAGCAACACACGGGTCATATGGATTGAAAACAAATCTCTTTGCCTCCAAATCACTTCAAAGCTGATTATAGAATAGGAGGCTTGATTGTAACATCCCATATATAGCACGTAGTACCCGCACATAGATTACTCGCTTTCCGTTCTCTAATACAACGTATTTGCAATACTCTGGGGCCATGTCAATCAATATCTGGACCATCATGCCAGTGATTTTCATGTAGATACGATCTTCTCCCTCCTTAGCTTCAGGCATATAAGTTTGAATGAAAGCGTTAGGCATGTCCATTACATCTCTACCTTTGTGTGCATCAATAACACAAGTAGTGGTGATTGCTTCTTGCAAAGCAGTTGGACTTGCAGTGTCCTCTGGCATATTGCCAACCATGAGACCATAATTATGCACCAGACCAGATCTTTCAACATCACACGAGCTGCAATGGAAATCAAACCTACCATCCCATTCAATCATGGCACCCTCCCTGAGATCAATCACAAGACCCTTCACACCGTTTATCTCAACATTTGGGAATACAAAACAGTGTTTTCCCAACAGAAGACCATTTGACACTGGTTCGGACACAAACACTGCCAACGATTTTGACAAGTCGAGATCGTAGTGTGGGGAGTTGCACAGATTTTGGCTAACTGCAACAGTGCACAAACCGGTGGCCTTTGCAATACCAAATCTCCCATTCACTGCCATGGAAGTCTGACTTTCACTGATCTGCTTTAAAACATGGAGCATGTTGCCATTGTCGTCCACCTGTTTTGCATAGCTCCACAATGCCTCGGTGAACGCCTGCCTTACCATCCTAATTCGATCCACGTTGCTAGAGATGTATTCCTCCCCATTGCTATTTCTGAGACCAACAGCCCACATTGCACCACATTCTCCATGACGATTGGTCCTAACTTCACCAGTGGCATGCTTCCCAGTCAAACGTCCAAGACGTAGACTTTTGTTGTGCAAATCACCCGTTGGGAGACGCCACACCTTAATCGATGAGTTGGCATACTTCTGATCTTTGCAATTAAAAACCTTCAACCTGACCTCGAGCATTTCCCCATCCCTTGGAGTGTACAAGTACGGACGATTCCACCATCTGCCAGGTGTAATCAAGCCACCCTCCACAAATTGACACTGATTCTTGGACCACCTTTTCATGGTTGTGTAGATGGTACGGGCCTCGTTCGAATCCTCTAGTCCCTTCCCATTGCATGCAAACTGCCGCACATAGATGTTATTGAAGTAGTCGGGTGGCAACAACGGAGACAAATGGTGGCCAGAGTCAAATTCCTTTGCGCCAATTGAGATAACATTGCTTTGACTTCTGAATTTCAGTTTCAAGAACTTGCCACCATCTGAATGAAGCCTTCGAATACAAGCAGTACTTTTGTCTGCCACATTACCCATTTGCCGCTTTTTTTTCAGCCCAACCAGCTGACTGCCAGTAGCCACAGCGGCCCTTTTTTTTTCATGGCTGCCCACTTGCTTGCCCCCGTCCAATATTCCGCCTATGCAAAGAATCTCCCTCTTCCAATCAATCTCCCTCCTGGCGTACATTCCACTGATTTTTGCCGGATCTTTGCAAAAATGGAAAACAAACCTTCTCATTCTTTTATGCTGACAAGACCTGTTTGGGTGGCTTTTCCCCCAGAAAAAACATAGCTGACATGCTGTGTTGCTAATTTCATCCCTTGGCTTGTTCTGTTGGAACTTGCAATTCCTTGTTCCATGCCCTTTGCACCCACAGATGAAACAGTATCCGGGCATGCACCCCTCTCCCTCACAGTCCGACTTCCCACAAACAATACACCTCGCATTCATCTTGTCACACAGAGTTGAAAACATCATCTCCACCTCCCTGTCATCTTCCCTTTTTTTTTCAATTTCTGAATGTACAATGGTATCTTTGCGTGCTGAAGAAATCTGCGAACAACTATCCTTTGATTTTCTCTGTTTACAGTTGTCACATAGTTCGCAATCTCTCACAATGGTCCCGTTTATTTCCTTGTTTAGAAATCCAATTCGACACTTCTTTGTACCAAAAAAACGTAGTAGTGATTCCCCACCCACAAACTTTGGAATGGCGGGACTATCAATGCCACAGTCCTTCAGGAATCTCAGTAAATCTGTCGCTTCTGGTATTGATGTTTGTTTTGATAAAACACAAGTCAACAAGCTCCCCTCTCTTTAGCTTGCACAAGAGAAACCAAGTTATATACATGTCGGAAGACAACCACAGTCTTGCACTTCAGGTTCTCATTACCAACTAGACAGCAAGTAGTCGATATCAAGACGGGGAGCAAGTCATTGTACCATCTCTTGCCGACAAGTCTCCTAGTATCTTCGTCGGTCTGGGAAGTTACAATGGCGTGGGTCCCAAGCTCTGTGCTTCCATCACCATATAGAGCAGTCTCCATGGAAGTGCAATCCGCAAGTGTAGCACAAAAAATGTGCATGTGTCCCTTCTGCAACCTATCCAACACAAATTGTTGCCAACCACTCTTGTCCATCGGTTCTACAACCTCCACGGCAATACCCGTCAAGCCCAGACTCGAGACCCTTGTTGCAAGATTTCCAGTGGTCCCAAGCCACTGTGTCACCGCAGTTTGAACTCCATGTGGGAGTGATCCGCTCATCGTAACAATCTGTGCTCCCTTTTCCGAGAGAATGGGAACGTATTTCCTCAAGCTGTCATATCTGAAACGGAAATCCATCTCCAAGAATGGCGTGTGTACCTCATCAATGAAGAAGCGTCGAATTTTTCCATCTTCGACCCATTGCCCAACAAATGATCCGCTCTTCTCCATCATGTTTGCAAACGAATCCACAGTAAAAAGCAAGATTGATGGTAGACTCTCTTTGATTACATCTGGCACCATACCCCTGCAGATGCTGGGAGAACGAACAGCTCTTGCTTGCACACCAAGTTTATTTGCAACCTCCAGCATGTGGTCCAATAGAAATGCATATGGCACCACAACACAGCTGACACCGTCGTCAACACCCAAAAGCTCTGCTGCCTTTGCCATTAAAAACTCTTCCCACACCCACATGGAATGGTTGCGTGGACATTCTTCCCTGGATTTGCAACAACAAGACGAAGAAACTCTTCCTGCCCATCCAAGAACACGGCCCCCTTGCCGTATACACATTTCATGGCACGCTCTACATCTTTCATTTCCAGAAACAATCCCAGCAACTTCTGGCTTTTCTCCCCCAGACTCTTATGAAAGATTTGAAACATCTCGTCCAATGGTCTCTCAATGGCATAATGGGATTGATGGGTAGTGGACGAGTGCCGTGTTTGCCGTGCAATCACGTCGGACTCGCCTCTGGACATGGTAGAACCAAATATAAATCCAGTTATGTCGGTCCAAACATGGCGTAGATCAAGCATTGTTGGTTCATGATCCAAGCCAAAAATATCCTGCGCAACCTGTGTTGGTTTAA